TAGATTCATAAGCTGCTTAATGTAGAGTATACGCTTGTTTTCTTGCTTTGATAGGCTTTTTATCTAATCAGACCATTTTTAGAGCTAGCAGGATTATTGGAATTAGGGGAGACATTTGTCTGACCGGACACGGTTAATCGTAGACTGGAGACTGAGCCCAGCCAGTGGGCAGGCCACCCATGACCCACCCCCTTCCCCCCCTCCCAAGCACTCACTGCACCCGGCTACAGGCGCGCTCCTATGTGAGCTGCCCGATTGCGATATACGTTGCCGGTCCAGCCCGGAACAGGGGGTTGAGGCGTGGAGGAGGATTCAACTATCCTGAAGATGGAAAGGACGGATTGACGTCGAATCACCATTCTGTCCTGGCATTGTCTCGAGAAAGAGGTTACACGTGAAGGTCGCTGAGAGTGGGGCCATGAAAATTTTGGATTAGGTGTAAACATGATAAACTGGGAGTCGATTTGTTGTGATGCGCTACGCCTTACGCGGGTTATTTGTTAGAGCCGGATCGGTCCTTTTTTTCTTTTTGCTGAGAGTGGGTACGACTAACCTGCAATGGAATTTAACTTTACTCCTAGGAGGGTGGTTAACAATGATTGCGGATATACGCGCATACGTGAGGCACTGGTTTACTCCCAATCCTCCGTTTAATTGTATTAGTGTGGGGTCTGTAGGTGGGGGTAATGGCTCTGTCTAGCTTCCAAAAAGAAAACATCACCCTGGATACGTGTCGACCACAATTTTAAATAAACAGCAATAGACAACGTAAATGGTTGATAATGACCGCGTTGCCATCTCCCCGTTCGCGAATCATGAAGTTATGCTTCCTCACTGAGGCTCTTAGGCGGGTTATAGAGCATGACGGATGTGGGTTCCGCATTTTCAAGCAATAGTTGTCAACAGTTGATTGATGTTTTGTCAAAACAAATTAGCATATACGGCAGTTCAGTGTATACTTTATGTCCGTCTGGTGTGCCCGTCGTTGCGTTTTCGCAACGCTGATGGCGCCCGGTGTGCCCTTCGTTGCGATTTCGCAACGCATGTTTTTTACGTTTTTCTCGAAAAACTTTTGCTGCAGGCAAAAATTATTTTCGATTCCATGCAAGGCCCTGGTAGGAGCATAACATATTTTGATTTCGTCGATTTTCATGATGGTCAATATTCCTGGGCATAAATGGGTTAAGCGTTCCTGTGAGGAGGCGCGTAATTGGATGCAGCTATTTCTTGTGTGCAAAACTGGGACGCAACGTGTTGCAATGAACGCCATGGGCACCAATCGCTTCGTCAGAAGTGTGTTTACATCGTTTTGGAAACGTGTTTTCGAGTAAGCCAGTTAGTGGTTTTGCTCGACCCATGCGTTTTTGTACCGTTACTAATTAAGACATCTGCCTTCTTGTCGTGGACTGAACACACACAGCCACCTCGAGACACCGTACACCTGGTAATGCCTGCGAAAACACGGCGTCCTTAACGTGACCAGCAGATTATCGCGAACCAAACCGGCCGGGCAGACCGTCCGGCGGTCCCGGGCCGACCTTTCTCGCTGTGTATGGCCGCTGTAGACCGTGTGAATGCCGAGGGTGCCGTCCTCGCTGCCGGTCTCGCGTTCACCTGCCGTTTGTTAGCGCTCGGCTGCCGGTGTGCTGCACGGCTCTCCGCTGTCTAGGGGTGTCTCCACCGCGCGCCGCCGAGCCCCGTCGTCTCCATCACCGTCGTCGGCGGCGGCGGCGTCGATCCGTCCGCGCTCCGGCATTGTCATCAGAGCCGGCAGCGGCTGCCTGCTCGATACAAACACCCCGTCCCGCCTGCCTGACGGCACATTTGGCCGTGCGAACAAGACGGAGCGCCCACCGGCCGCACACAAAGCCCGGTGGCGGTGCACGGGGCGCGCCGCCGAGACGGTGAGGCACGCTGCAGGCCGCGCACGCTCCGTGTTGTGAAACGGCCGCGGCGGAACAGGCGTGGTCCGATGGGCGCTCTGTCGCCGTGTGACGGGTCCATTAGTGACCAGAGACCCTGCGCCGGTCACTGGGCGCGGGGCGCGATAACTGGAGTGGGCAGTGGACAGATATGTGACAGTTAAGGTCTCGGAGCCACGTGTTCACAGCGCCCCGGTTACACGCTGTGGTGCCAAGCTGCTGGGTGCGCCGAGCCGACACCTCGGCCACGGAGCGGCCAGCGCGCGATCGCGTGACCGGCGAACGTGCTGCTCGTGAGCGCCGACGGCGGGCCATCGTCCACACACCGAGCAGCGCGCGCGGCGCGCCGGCCGCTCTGAACAACGCCGCCGCTTCAGTTACGGGCCGCTCGTATCGAACAAATGACTTATTCTACTGAATGGCATGCTCTCTGATTGGGTGAATTATTCTGATATGGCGTTGGGTTTGAACATGCGGTACCAGATGTATGGTGGGGAAATTTCGTGCAGGGCCCGTGATGTTATCGGGGTGATACCACGAACCCGAGCCATGGGAGCTGGCCACTGCCTACCATAGTGAGGGAGCTCTAACCTGGCCAGTAACTGTCCCAGCTTTAGGCAGCGTGGCCTTCCCAATGCGGAAACAAAATAATAGCATTTCTGGCTTAGTTGCGGCCTGTAGCTGATCACGCGCTGGCTGCCATGGGCGCCGAGTAGCCAGCCGAGTTCCTGGCGTGAGAAGGATGTGCAGACGCCGGCCCGGCCCGACAACACGCTAATGTTGCACTGCAGCGGTAATGGTGTGTACGGACAGCCGTGAAAACCCACCGTCGCCGACCCGGGCGGCAGGGTCGACCCTCAGACCGCGCCGCCGACACGGCTCTGATTACAGACATTCCGTTTAATTATATTGTATTTGCGTCTGCAGAGTCGTTCTCGGACGGCGCTCTCGGCGAACGTGACGCCGCGCTGCGAGCTGTCTGCACGGTGGACTGGGCCGGGCGTTGGTATAGGTACTCTGCGCCCGCCGCCGGGCTGCGTGATAGACCCGCTGTACAGGCAGTAAATCGCACCGGCTGGCCATTTTTCGCCAGCTGGCTGACGGCTTTAATTGCCACGCGGCCACGGTAACCGGTATTCATGTGGACGAAGACTCCAAGTCCACAGACAGATATCGCATCCTCATGGAAGGCTGCAGCACGGCCGCCGCAACCGCGCTAAACCTATTAAACATAGAAAAATCGCCCGGCGATTGCAACGCCGTATAGAGTCAGGCGGATCCTATCAGGCTTGAGGTTGGCTCAGTATTTTGTGGCCAGCGTATTGTCTGTCCTGGCGCGGACAATGGTATGTTTTATTATACATACAACCGTCGCGCTGATTGATACCTTCAGTGACAGTGATGGATTGAGTTGTCCGCTAATTAAGCGATATCTGCAAATCGTGCTGCAGTGGTGTGCCCATACACTGGTGATCGCTGGAGATTTTTGTGAAATGACTGCAGTGGCTCGTAAAATGCGCGCACTTGATCCCATCGGTGAATTTAATTTTGTCATTGTGCTTGGAGGACCGATCCATTCTTTCTTTACGCGTTTGACTATCGAAACCAGTCAGCGGTTCACAAGCGAAGATCACCGATTAGCCAACAATGGTGGCACTAATGAACTCGGAGTGGTCGCGCCGGCCGGCCGGTCGGTGCTTTGTTTACCACGCATTCGCCACGTTAGCGCTATCTGCCCAGATAGACCGCTCCATCCGGTAATGGCCGTTTGATTGGCGGAGCTGCGGGCGCTTCTAGCCGCCTCGGGCACGGCATTGATTGATCGTGTTGCTCGGTGCCAGTGACCGGCCGGAGGTGCCGCGGGGGTGCCCGGAGCCGGACCCGCCCTGTGTCGGCCGCTCATGCTCCAGCTCCCCGCCGAGAGCGGGCCTGTCTCCCGGCTCCCCGCCGCGCCGCCCCCGCCCCCGCCGCGCCGCCCCCGCCCGAGCGGAGGTCTCAGCGGGCGCCGTGCAATCTCGGCCGTCCCGTTACCGCTACGTTAGAGCTGGGGCTTACGGACCAGAAGGGCGGCTCTCCGGTCCGGTCCACAGGGAGGTAACGGCACCACGGGCTGAAACACGAGTCCGCGGCGATAGCGCGACAGGCAGCGGCGGCGTCAGACGACCGCGCCGGCAGCAGCAGTAGCAGTAACGGTAGCGGCGCAATCGTCGACACCAGCAACAGTCACAGAAGTAGCGGCACATTCGTCCGCTAAACATACAGTCGCGTTATCAATGGTATGAGTGCAACAACAGCAGCTGTGACTACTTCACCGGGTTCTGAGGTATACCAGTTGTGAATACACCAATGCGACAGTAGTAACTGCAGAATCAGCAAAACAAACATAACCAACAGCAGTGCAGCGGCACCGTCTGGCCCTGTCGAAGCTGCAGCATTGCAGCAGCAGCAGCAGCAGCGGTCGCCTTCATCTGTTGTCTGTCTTCGTGCTCCGACCGGCCGGTCGCGGCGGGCGCCGTCTCTCTCGATGAACCGATAGTGGCCGCGGCAGATGTGGGCCTGGATGGCGCACTTAATTGGTCGACATTACGTCGCCGCTTTGTCACGCAACACGGCGGACACACGACTAATGAGTGAGGACACCGTCCACAGTCGGGATAAGGCAGTCGCCTCTCTGTGTCGCCCCGCGCTGTCCCGTATCCTCCCCCGGCCGCCGCGCCGGGCCGGCCTCGCCGACAGTGGTAGCCTGCCGTTGACGCGGACCCATCTGTTTGTCACTGCACGACGGTAATTAATGAGCGGCCGTCAAGCTTCGTTTGCCGGCCACCGCTCCCGATCGCTGTGCCTGACGACGGAATGCATTTCACCCGACTGACCGGCCGGCTGGCTAACTGGTTTGGGCGGTCCGGGGGCCACCTGCATGGGCTGCACAGCTGGGGATCATGACTCGCGTCGGCAACAGTGTATGAGATAAAAGGTGGACACAGCTGACCGTCTTCCTGTACCGTGTCTTTTTTTGTCACTATTCCCCACCCACCCCTGCTCAGTGGAGTATCTAACTGCTTTGTCCGTGTGTTGCAGGCCTGCCAGTACAACTACCGTCAGCGTTTGCAGCGTTCCACTCGCCTCTGACCGAGCCAGCGAGCCGCGGCCTGACGCATGACCCGCGACTCCTCTGGGACCCGGCTCGCCTTCACCTGCATTCTCACCTCGCTGCTGGGTGAGTACCGAGACCGCTCTACTGCTCTGCACACAGTGCGTGAGTGTTGGAGGGGCCGGAAGAGCGGCCGAGCGCGCAGCGTGGCCGCCAGAGACGAGCCGTGACCGTAGTAGGTCGTAGGGTAATTCAGATCAAACTGTGAAAATACAAGAGCCCGGGAGGCGGCTTTGAATATGATTTGATCGGCCACCCGTTTTGGTGGATGATGAGTGACGTATTTTTTCATCGACATCGTCTAATGTCGTTCTCCGGGCATCTGTCGGTCTATGGAAGCTTCCACCACTCCGGAGGCTGAAGTTGGAGATGGCTGCCCACCGCCCTTGCCTCCCACGCCCAGGCCACCGCGCCGCTGCCGCCGCCGCCGGCCTGTCGCCGACGCGCCGTGACCGGTGGCGGCTCGCGCGCCCTGTCGTCGCGCGCCGTTTGATGGCGGCGCCTGCCGTCCCCGCGCGGCGCCCAGCCGTAAATATTTGCACCGACGTCACTTAATGAAGCTCATTGCTGCCGCGCTAATGAGTAATCACCAGCTAACGGCTTGATGGCCGGCGACCCGGCGAGCTTGGCAGCGCGGCCGGCCGGCGCCGGACCGTCGGAGCGTGATAGGGTCACGGCGGCCGTCCGCCCACCTCCCGCCGGCCCGAGGCTGTGCGGGGAGCGAGTACCGCGTGCCAGGACTTGAGAGACGATATAGACACGCCCACTGCCTCCGTCTGTCCGTCCGCCCAGCTCAGCCCAGCCGAGCCCGGCCCGGTCCGGCAGCGATGTCGGTCCCGATCCCGTCAATGGAGGACGGCCAGAATGACATGCTGCGGCCCGCCCTCCCAGTGGCACGGTGCGACCGAGCTGTATCTGCGGCTCACATCTCCCGCACCAGCCGCAGGTGTGGGAGGACGTGGTGCTCTGTTCGCCAGTGACCCGTCCTAGCTACTGAGAGTGCTCTGCGCCACACGGTGGCTCGGAACATGTCCTCTGGATGACACTGGACGAGGACTCTGCGGGGAGGAAAGGGTGGGCGGCGGATGAACGATGCGGGTCGTCGGGCCGTGCTGTGGGGTGCCGCTCCGCCCGGGTGCGGGGTGCGGGGTATCGGGTGTCCAGCACCCCGGCTGGAGGCTGCGTGCTCGCCGCCGACCGAGCACGATCGGCTGTGAAAATATTATCTCAGACGGCAGCGCGCTGCCGTGGGAGGTGGCGTTTTTTGCTGCTCCCTGGAGCCGGGGTGGTCCGACCTCCTCTCACTCTGCTGGCCAGTTTTTCCGTCCGATGCACCCATTTCCACCCAAATTGGTCTTTATCTGGTGGGCGAGATACGACAGCGGTACTAAGAGCTCGGGACGGAGCCGGGCGGCGCTATCTCGGGGCGGCACGTCATCAGCGGCCCGCAGTCGTAACGAGGCTTTATTTCTCTGTCAGCTGTGACAGCGGACGCCACTCGCGCGCCAATGGGCGCCCTGTAACCGGTGGAAGGCGTTAATTGCGCCGGCTATCTGTGCCCCTCTCCCGGCCGGTGATAGGGCGCCAGATGTGACCAGCTGCTGCCGTGTTCGCAGCCGCGCTGGTCTGGTCTGTATCCCTCACCGCCGGCTCCGGAGACTGACACAAACTGGCGTGTCCAGTGGGGTGTGCACTGTGATTTTTTTCACACACACTCTCCGCCCGGCCACACTACCTGAGTGAGGTAGCGACAGGTGCGCCAATTTGAAACGGGCTGGTGGCCAAGCTGATGTATGTCACCGTCGCAGCGAGGGAAGTTGTTAGCCATACACATTTTCTGACCGCCTCTGGCTGTATCTGACTACTTCTTCTGATCATTCTGATCATCACTAATCCTTTTTCATCACATACATATTACTGACTGTTTCATTCCTCCCGTGACTGCGTCTGACCTGCTCCTCCCCTGTTCGTCAGGCGTGCGCGCCGTTAGTGGCCCGTGTCTGCACCACCTCTGAGCTATCCTTTTTCACACCTCTGCAGACGCTCATTGGCACTGCCAGCGCCGCGGTCTGCGCCGTGCAGTCACCGTAATGATAGTGCGCCTGTCTTCCGGCGACGACCCCGCTCATTAGAGCTGCGCCGTTTTTGCCGCCGGCGCGGACTGTCGACGCTTCCGGCGCGGCGCACTGTGTCGCGCAGCGCTGCATCGACGGCCGGAGACGAATTAATGCCGCGCGCGCGCGCCACGCTCAGAAATCAGAGCCACACCGCTGTGCGCAACACTCGTCTCCGCCGCGGCGGAAACGGCTGCGGCTTGGTGGCGCGCTGAGATGACGGATGGCGCGCTTCGGCTATTTCGGCGCGCCATGTGCGCTCCATGTGGTGCGCGGCGGCTCGTCTTTCGTGGGGTGTCGGTGGCGACGGCGGCGCTGTTCGACTCTTCGCGAGCGCGTCTGCCCGACGACGGCTGCCCCGACTCGGCGAGGCTTGGGGCGCTGCGACCCCTGCCGGCCGGGTGTCGGCGTATTTATTTGGTTAGTGCCGCTGGGGGCCGGAGGGCGGTTGTGTTGGTCTGTGCCCCGCCGGTTTTTGCTGGGTGTCGCCGGCGTCGCGACCGACGCAGAGGGGCCGCCGTCGGGTGTCGCCTGTCGCTGGGGAGAGGACCATTGGCATTGGGTCGAAACTAGGAACGGGTCTGGACGGCGAGGGTCACACCGTCTGACCGTGCCTGTCGTCAATACGCTGAGTCAGCGTTACAAAGGACGTCCGCCCGGGCCTTCCCTCACTGACGCTGGCTTCCCTCCTTGGACACCACTCCGCCCCTCTCCACCCTTCCCGCCGACTCCGGCGCCGGTCCATCGTTATCGACGTGCCCCGTCGGTGCGAACGTGTCGCCCGGTCCGCCGGCGCGCCGGTCGCTCTCTCTCACGGCCGCGCGCCGGGTCACTGGCGCGGCATTTCCGGCGCTGGCGTGAGCGCGCGCCGTTTGTCGCCGCCGGCGCGCCGTTTGTCGTCGAGGGGCGGCGCCGGCGCCGGCTGACACCTCGTCACCACGCCGCCGGACGTCATCAGGCGTCATCGGCGTCACCCAACACCGGGGCACGTCAGCGATGACGGGGGAGAGGCCAGTAGCGGCGGAACACCTTCAATTAAGGGGGGGGGGGCACTGCCAACTTTTGGTCCCATTCTTTCCATGCAACGACCATAGGGCTAATGTAAAAAATGCCCAAATCAAAGGGGGGCACGGTGCCCCGGTGCCCTCCCCGTTGCGCCGCCTATGGGAGAGGCTGAACGGCGGAGCGCTCGGCTGGAAGGCGGTCAGCGGCGGGTGTATTAGCGAGATTGGGGTTCACTAGCGGCCGAGATCCGTCCATTCTCTCCTCTCCCGAGTCCGTGGGAGCCTCTCGAAATCGCCCCCTCCCACCGCTCTAATCCGAGGATCCGTGGCAGTTGAACACAGGGCGCACACAGACGGAGCGCCGCCCCGACCCGGGCGCCCCCCGCGGCCCTGGCGGCGCCCTTTGGGGGCGGCGAGTTGTTTTGCCGGCGCGCAAGGCACCGCGTCCGGCACCTTTGGGTGACAACAATGGCGTGGAGACGGGCTCTCGGCGCGCCGCGACTCGGCCGGCAGGTGTTATTGAGAGTCGGCGCTGAAAGGCCGGCCCGATCGGCCAACACGGCGCTGTGCTAAATACGGGCCGGCCATTATGGCCGCGCTGCCGGCGGCCCGGGCCGGTTAGCCGCGGCTATTTACGCTGACCGGGCCGGACGACACGCCGAGCGGGGCCGCTGCAAATAGAGCCTGTCCCCGCCCGCGGCGGTCGGCCGAGGGGTGGGCGGCGCCGGCCGGCCGGCAGCGACGTGTTAATTCTCTCGCCCCGCGGGGGACGGTGCGCGCGGCCCCTCTCCCGCCGAGATAGGGCCGGCAGAGACAGATGGCCGCCCCCAGAGGACGGGGAGAATGGTCAACGGTGGCGGCCGGTCTATGGCGACGAGGTCACCTGCCCCCTGAGGTGCGTCTCAGGGAAGGCAGACGGCAGCCACCGGTGTCTGTCGTCCACAGCCACTAAGCTGTTTGCTGTCGGTTGTATCTGCGCTGCTGTCTATGTTACCTGTCTGGGAGTGCTGGGGCCGGCCAAAGCCCGGTTTTCCGTCGAAGTCATGTTGGCCGCCGTGTGGCCATTTTTCCGCGTCGCGTCGTCTCGGTACGGCCGCGTTTACATGCCGCCGGTTGTCGTGCGGCGGTCATTGTGTGGCCCTTTGATGAAGTGGCCGGCGCGGCGGCAGAATGCTGATGCCCGCGCCGCGGCCGGAGACGCTGGTAATCCGTTGACAGCGGGAATGTGTCCCGAGAGGGAGCGGCCGTCAGCGCAGCCGGGCCGCTGCTGCGCGCGCGCCGAGCCGAGAGCAGACCTACTACCGTCCTGCTTATTTTCACTGACGGCGTGTGTTTTCTGGGTCGTCATCGACGTCTTCTCCCATTAAACGCTGCGAAAATAAACGGGCCCGCCTGGCCGTCGGTTCCGACAGCCCCGGGTCGACGGTGAGCCGTCGGTGGCGACGGCAGGGGTGTTGGCGCCGACGGACGGGACCGTCGGTGGTCACTCACCGGTCAGCGGGCGGTCCGACGGTCCGTCGGCGGCTGACAGAGGTCAGGCCGGCCGGGGTCAGGCAGCGATGCATCTCGCCGGGCGCGTTTCATCTGACTGGTGGCGTCGGCTCGCCGTATCGGTGCCGGTGTTTGGCTTGGACATGGCTGCGTCCGGTCGGCGGTGACGTATCACTGCCAGGTGCCTGCATCGAGACGGACGGGCCGCTGGCGTCGGAGCGCGGAGCAGAGCCGCTGCACCGCCACCGACCTCCCGGAGGTCAGCAGGGGCCGCGGCAGGCCGGCCTATTTGGGGCCTGCTCGGATATGGTCTGAGGTCACCCCGGTGTGTGCCGATATTCTGGAGTGTCATTACTGTTCAATTAGCCATCTCTGCTCCCCGACATGGCTGCAGCGCTCATGAGATCTGCCCGCCGACATGGCTTGAATTCCTGTTGGCGTGGTGTTTTTGGTATGA